ACTGCACCGCCTCCCGGCCGCCGTCTGCAGCGTCAGCAAGTCTACCAACGTTCCGATTTGACACTGGACGAGCATGTTGCGACGACAGCTGACGAGGCCCTGGCCAGCCCACATGTTCACCCACGCTCCGTGAGGCTGGAATGGACATGACAGTAGCCCAAGTGCAGAAGCAATTTGCTGCGTTTGAAGAAGAAAACAATAGCCGTTGATAAGCAAGCGAGCTACCTCGTCCGACCGCGATCCTTCGACTGTATCGCTATTCCCACCCAGTATCGCTTCTGTCAACGCGGGGTGAATACAATACGCCGAAACTCCCGGCAGGTCCCTTGTAGCATATGCGCTCCAGCCATCCTCCCAGTAATCTACATGTTCCACGATACTATAGTACACCCACCGGTCTATATGCATACCCACACATCTACAAGTTGTCCGCTGTAAAGATAAGCAATGCCATGCGATGCCGCACAAATAGTCCTACAAGTCCAATCGCGAACTGGAACGCGAGCAAACCCATAGCTAAGCGGTCCTCCCGCATGGGACCGAACCATACTAACCACAAGTTGATTAGTGTAAAGTTGCTCGACGAGACCACCTGCCCTTTCCCATCCGTCTCAACATCGAGCATCCGAAGCCGGTGCAGCACCTTGAGGCTCTCCGCTATCGGTCGTCGTAGTGGTTTGGTGAATTCGACGCGCGAGGGCTCCAGTAAACCTGTCCGTGCGTTGAAGTGCGGAAGCCGATGTCGGGGACATGGTACGATGTGGAACAGTTGGGGTGCCGAGTAGACAAAGTTGAACGCTTGCGGTAGGAGTAGCAACATGAGCGTTTTGCTGAAGTGACCGAGGATGGCCACTACGGCGAAGACCATGCCTGCAAAGTAACAGTAAGTGTCGCCCACAAAAACCTTTGCTGGATACCAGTTGTGCATCAGTAAGGCCATCGAGACACCGATAAACGGCAGTAGCAGATACAGCGAAAACAGATGCGAATCCGTCGCTGGATGTGGGTACGTCGTAAATGGTGAGAGATACAGCATATCATTGCCGACAATCAGGACTGCAATGACTATAGACTGGGCCACTTCGATGCCGTTGATGCCCGCCAAGATGTTAATGCTATTCGAGGAGAAGATGGACATCAGCGCCATGTAGACGTAGTAAAGCCAGCCTGGACGTATGTTAATGGTCAATTCAGAAGCAGCTATCGACGTGAGCACATACCCAGATCAAAGAGCTCGCCAAGATAAGGCCTGAGTGGTAGTGGGACGACCATCTGCGTCACACCAAAGTCGACAAAGTAGACCACGAGCATGGGAATAACTGCAAAGGCTGGAATGAGCACCTTATGTCGCCATCTTATGTCGAACAGGTCGTCACCAATACCGAGCAGTACGATAGACTGGAGGGAAAGTATGGCCGACAGATAGGACGCAAGCTTGTTGTGAGGAAACCTGTGTAGTAGCCTCCCGGTCTCAATCAGCTCCAGTTCCTTGATCGTGTCCCGGTTACCGCCGCCTGATGTTGCGACTACAATGTCTTTGTAGAACGGCCATGGTATGAAGAAGATCAAGATGAAAAGATACACCATAGCACAGACCGCGCCCATCATCTCTGGGCTATCCCTGTCAGTAAATCGTTTTCATGTACAGTACACTTGACACTTACATTTCAATCTGCTTCAGCTTACATAGATCCTTCCCTTTGAAGCCACGCTTCGCAAAGGCATCCCCAAGCCATCGTATCAAAGCATAACAGAATGCAAAGGCCAGACCACTGAGCGCTATCGACGCAACAAGCGGCTCACCGTCACCGTGAAGCGTGTTGGCCAGCACACCGACACATGCGAGCGACAAGGAGAGCAATGAAATTGATTCTGTTGATGATAGCGCGCTCGCCATGGTGACAGTGATAGTGTCTGATGTCGAGGTGACGGCGGATCTTGGCACGTGGACGCCTGTAGCTGTTGACTCCGCGCGGCCGTTTGCTGTCGCGACGATATCAACAACGGTTGCGCAACCTCCCCACAGCAACACCGTCACGACCTGCCGTTTTGCCGAATCGCCACCTCTTTGTCTGAACCCGGAGCGTGACTCTGCGTGAATCGTTCGAAGTGGACTTGAGACTGACAGATAAAGATTGTGAACAGATCCACGACTCCAGCAACGAAACCAACAAGCTCGCAGAGTGAGCGAGAGACGAACAGAGCAGCACAATCTGCACGAGGTCGTGGTTGCGGTGTTTGGTGAGTAGAGATTCTGGCAAGGTGTTGTTTCGGCTTCTTCCTGCTCTGCTAACCCGAAACGATAGACCCACGAACATTGGCATCAACATGGCGGACCACAACCAAGCCAGCCGCTCGGCCAAGGCTGATGAGCTCCTGGACGGTCTGAATGCGGTGAGTAGTCATCTCGCGTCGCGAAGTTTCCTCCAGCACTTGACAGCGTCGCGTCTGCCCTCTGCTGCAGTCAGCGATTCGTCCTCGCTGGGCCCCACCAAGGAGGAAGCACGGTCGCCTGCACGGAGACCGCATCTCAATATCGCCGCCGCTTTCGAAGACGAGATCGAGCACGTGGATCTAATCGCTCCCCTGATTCAGGAGCCTTGCGCCGACGGCAGCACCGGCAGCGTCGAGCAGCGCGTCATCGACCAACTAGAGGTGGCCTTTGTGTGTGCGCATCGCGCCTACGCTGAGATGGCTGCAGAGCGAAGCTTCCAGACCTTCTCGCATGGCCACCAGGACCTCGTACTCGCTGTCGACTTCAACTACTTCGGCACGCGCATGGTCACGGCAAGCTCAGATCACCGCGTCAAGGTCTGGGACAAGAAGGACGATTCGTGGTCCCTGGTCGAGAGCTGGAAAGCTCACGATGCCGAGATTGTCGATGTAAGTTATCTAATCTTCAGCCGCAAATCTTCTTTCGGTCACCTGCATGCCATTTTGCCACCTTTGTGACCCGTCGCTAACTTCATGTATAGGTCAAGTGGAACGGCCCCTTCATGGGCGAGGTTGTCGGTAGTATTGGTGAAGATGGTCGCTGCAAGATCTGGCAAGAGGACGTCACCGAGGTGGCCATGTCTGGCAACCGCTTCAAGCTGGTCTACGTACTCCCTTCATTGACCAACGCACCGTTCATGTCTTTGGATTTCAAGAACATCATGCAGGAGACCTGGCTCGCGCTCATCACCCGCGACGGCTATCTCACTGTCTATGAGCCCCAGGATCAGAACAACCTCCATGAATGGACTATCCTGGCAGAGCGCTGGGTCTCCGAGAACAACCCTCCCGAGCGCCAAGAGGAGGTAGGCTTCAAGGTCGTCTTTCACAAGGAGAAGCTACCCTGTTGGACCGCCATCACCGCTGGCCTTGACCGCAAGTCGCTATCCCTCGCTGTTGCTGCTATGAAAGATGTCCTTGTCTTCCGCACCGACAAGGCCAAGCGCTTCTTCCAAGTTGCGAAGCTAGAGGGTGCTCGTCAGATCATTCGGGACCTGGCCTGGGCGAATGGTTCTATGCGAGGCTACGACATCTTGGCCACAGCTAGCAAGGATGGCGCTATTCGCATCTATGAGCTTCGAACGCAGACCGAGGATAGGAACACTGCATCTGGAGAAGCATCGTCTTCCGCTCCGCTTTCAGTCTCACCGCGAGGCCATCGACAGAACGCCCCATCTGGTATTGGAGCTGGACTGGCTGGAGCTTCCAAGGCCCCCGACACTTCGATTGAGAACGAGCAGTATCCTGGTCGCATCAAGCAGAAGGTAGAGATGACCGATGAGCTTACCAATCATCACGGAGCGGTTTGGCGTGTCGCGTTCTCGCAGATGGGTAAGTCACACCGGAAGAACATGCACAGTCACAACTAACAATTACCACAGGTGATCTTCTCGTCACCACTGGAGATGACGCTAGCATTCGTACCTGGAAGAGGGCCGCTGATGGCCACTGGCAGGAATATGCCCAGATTGAGACTGCTCAAGATAACTAGCGAGTCAAACGTTTCCTGCATCGTCAGATTCGACATGTTAGGGCTCGACTGGTCTTCTGGATGAGACATCTACGGCGTTGGTGGTAGGCGGATCGGCAAAGACATGTTAGCAAGCCACAACGCATTGCATAAAGGAGCAATTATGGGATGAGGGAGGGAGATTTTGCATATGGAATTTTCGGCGTTTAGGCATCAGGATAACACCACACGACATACGACGCATGGCTATTACGCTGCGTCCAGGTCATTTCACGTTTAGATACCCACGGCTATCACCGAATCATCAGCCATGTCATGGTGGGACTTTTCATTTCAGTCATCGTTGGAATAAAAAGAAGAATAGCAGCTATGCTTACACTAATATCGTGCACCCACGTCCGCCGTTGTCAATGCTGTACCACACCAGTCGAAGCTGCTGTCTTTACTCACGACAGCCTCAGTCTAAGTCGCCGCTGCTGTCTTTACTTACATCGGCCGCAGTCCAAGCCTCCGCCGCCTGCTTCTTCATCAGCTGCCGCCGCAACCGCCCCGGTTGAAGCTGCTGTGTTCCATCACATCGGCCTCAGTCCAAGCCTCCGCCGCCTGCTACTTCATCAGCTGCCGCAGCAACCGACCCGGTTGAAGCTGCTATCTATCGTTACATCGGCCTCGGTCCAAGCCGCCTGCCTCTTCATCAGCTGCCGCCGCAACCGACCCGGTTGAAGCTGCTGTCTATCGTTACATCGGCCTCGGTCCAAGCCGCCTGCCTCTTCATCAGCTGCCGCAGCAACTGACCCGGTTGAAGCTGCTGTCTATCGTTACATCGACCTCGGTCCAAGCCGCCTGCCTCTTCATCAGCTGCGCATCGTACTTGCCCGTCGCTAGAGCTACCAGAGCTATGGTCACACAGGCCAAAAGAAAGAGGTTATCTAAGGCCACAGTTAGTTCGGATGCAGAAGACTCCAGGGAAATACAGCGCCCAAACAGTGAAGAACTATATGGATGGGATGTCTATAATGCTGGAGCAGAGCCACCCATGGTCATCGACGATGCTGTTGCTGAAGACCCAGAAGCTGCCAGAGCGGAACGGGAGTTATGGCTTTACCTGCCCTTTACAGATCAAGAATTAACGGATACCACGCTGTCTAGCGAGGAGGTCGTAAGGATGGTAGAACGCGGCTATCCCGCTCTTGCAACCAGTGCCATGGCGGATTTCTACCAGTCAGCTCGTGAGCACCTGTCTACATCGCCGCCGCTCACCATCTCAGTGCGCGAAAAGTATCCGACGACATGGCCAACTACAAACACAGCAATGGATGGCTACTGGGGCCAAGCTACCGATGCGGAGAAAGCTCTTCACCCTCCTGACCACCAGGTTGACTCTACAGACGACTTTGCATGGCTTGATATGTCAGGGAGGTTGTTAGTCAAACCCTGTGGGAGCCCCAACGACTCTCTCATGGTGTTGTCCTCCTATCCGACTGCTGACGTCAACTTAACTGTGCACTTGGCTTATGGGACCATCGACGATATGTCTAACCCTTCCATGTGGCTTTTGTACTCAAAGATGGGTTTCCATGTCGCTGATATCAGGGAGCATTCGATGTTCCATGTGGACGTCTTTCCCCAGCGAATAGATCGCAAGACTGTACCGGGTGGTGAAGCGACCCTCTTTCGAGCAGGAACACTTCCCACTCAACTTCGCAGACATTGGCAGGAATATGCCTTCAAGATAATATCTTGCTCTGAGGCAAAAGTCCTCCTTGTCGTTGGGGGAATAGCGGCCAAGGCGTACATGACCTACATTCAGGAGAATGAGATCGAGCATACAGTCTTGTGGACATTTGGAAAGAAACGATTCGAGCAGGAGATCCCGTTAGCTTGGCTGCAGTTCGAGGCTGGGAAGATAAGGCGCCTGGCCTTCGCGATCCCACATCCCGAAGCTTTCTCGAGGAATCGCGCGTCTGTCCTAACGGACATCCAAAGGAAGTTTGCTTTCCGGGAGCGGATATTTGACTACTGTCTAGTCCAGCTTTTCGGTAAAATCCACTTGCCTTGCTTCCTCTCAACAACCGGGTACGCCTATCAGTTGAGCACGGGCAGCATCCTTGAGATGTCGCCCTTCCGGAATTTCGACGCAAAGAAGAACGACACCCTTAGCGATCATTTCAGGCGACCCACTCTGGACACGGCCTCCTTAGACAAAACCCTAGAGAGGACATCACGAATTGATGAGAAGCAACCAAAGGCGATCCTCAAAGTTAGGGCAGCTAATAATGTAAAACCATCAGATGCCCTAACGTACTATCAGAGGGACGACGTTAAGCGGAAATTCACTGGCTGCATCGCCACCTACATCCTAATGACTTCCAAGGCTCTGGGCGGAAAGGCTTCGTCCATCTCAAAGGCCGGGTAGAAGGCCAAGGATCTACCAGTGGAAGAAGTGACCAGACGTAGGCTCCGCCACAATAATCGCCAGGTCGCCCGCCGCAACGCAAAGAAGGGTGATGACGATGAGACAGAGTACCACATCGTGCAATTCTCATTACACACAGATGCTTAGCAAGTTCAGCTCTACGCAACTACCGCCTGCTTGCCTCTAATGCAGCTTCCTCAGCTATCACAACTGCTGCTACTAGCGAGCTATCAGACGCAGATACAGCCACCCGCCTGCCACCAGCACCAACCAGTTGCAACTGTGGCCGCTCGCCTATCTCCCGTCCAGCTTTCCCCTCTGCTACTAGCACCCACCAGTTGCAACTACAGCCGCTCGCCTGTTATCACCTCAGCTTTCCCCTTTGCTACCAGCACCTATCAGACGTAACTGCGGCCGCTCGCTACTGCTATGCAGGCTTCATCTCGGCCACGGTTAGCTCGAACAGCGAAGAAGGCACTATCTGCGGACATCCTCAGATATCTTGACCCCTAGGATCAGAATGAAGACCAGGATCAGAATGAAGACCAGGATCAGAATGAAGACCAGGATCAGAATGAAGACCAGCATCAGGATCAAGACCGGCATCAGGATCAAGACCGGCATCAGGATCAAGACCGGCATCAAGATCAAGACCGGCATCAGGAGCGTACACGGCACAAGCAACATGGTACAAAGAAGCGCAGGTTGGCCACCATCCAAGAGGACGACACTTCAGGAGATGAGTATGATTTTCAAGAGGGATCTGATTCAGAAGATGAGTATGCTTCGCAAGAGGAGCATAAAGTATGGGAGGAGCATGAGAAGCAAGAGGAGCATGAAGTATGGGAGGACCGACGGAAGCGACCTAGGAAGCAGGGTCGGGTCAGAAATCACCAGCCTCTCAATGTCCAGACGGCTGCCCAGAAGACATCATCAGTGGAGCAGGACGAGTTTGATGTGAGCTACACAAAAGATGACGACTTCAAAGACGATACCGATCCGCAGACCGTCGCCGATGAGCGACGTGCATGGTCACCTATTTACGTCCCTTTCTCCGACGATGCCTTATTGGACATCACCCTGACTAGCGACGACGTTGTGCGCATGTTTGAGACCGCATACCCTATACTCTCAACATCCAACCACAGGATTAGAACCTTTTGGGACTCGGTCAATCAGCACCTCCAGAGCTCACCAGCGTTCCGCATACCTGTCCGAGAGGTCGATCCACACACTTGGCCTCTGACAGACCCTGTTGTTGACGGGCTATGGGGAGATGTAACCGCCGCAGAAGTAAGTTCTGTTTGTACAAAGTGCTTGTGAGACATGTACTGACTTTGTACCTCTACCTATCTAGGCAGCGCTCAACATCCCAAAGATACCATACTGGCTCGATATAGACCCAAGCCTTCTGTGCAAGCCAGTTAGGAGCCTGGGCGACACACTAATGATTGTGTCAAGTTACCCTACAGCAGATCCACGCTCTACTGTGCACCTTTAGTACAGAACAATGAATAACCTCTCTAACGCATCTATATAGACATTCTATAGTAAGCTTAGCTACTATGTAGCTACTATACGAGACTACGGGCTACTTTACGTCGATGTGTGCCCAAGGCGCATTAATAGGAAGCTGGTCCCGGGGGAGGACAGCTCTATGTCCCTTCTTCGCCAACTGCCAGCCGACGTCCGCGAGTTCTGGGACTCCGCTGCCTACGTCTTTATCCGTCTGTCGAACTCCAAAGTTGCCCTGATTGTCGGGAACGTGGCAATCCGTTCGTACACTTTGTATCTCAAGTCAATGGCCATTCCGCACACCACCGTCTGGATCTTTGGGCAAAAGCGGTACGCCACTGAAATCCCACTGGCCTGGCTAGAGACCTCGGCCAACGGTGGTGTCATCAATCGAATCAATTTCGCCATCCACCATCCGGAAGCATTCAACAGGAATCGTAGATCAGTAGTCACTAATGTACAGCGCAAGTATGCTTTCGGGGAGCGGATCATCGACTATTGACAAGCGAAGATGTTCGGACGCATACATCTGCCCTTCTTCTTGTCCACCACCGCCTATGTATTCCAGTTATCCACCGGGGGTATACTCCCGGTAACAGCTCTCCTGGAATACAGCAAACGAAGCGATACTGGGAGTGACCATTTCAGCCGGCCAACTCTGGACACCAGCTCGTTGGACAAGACCATGGAGAGAATCGCTGGTCTCAGCATCGACCAGCAGTTGGCTATTAAGGCCATCAGGAAATCCGTGAACATAAGCCGGCACAACACGCGGCAGGTCGCCCGCCGGAACGCAAAAAAAGGTATCAACAATATTCCCAGGGCAACTTATACGCGGGAAAAAAAAAGGTCTGCAGGCTACATCAAGACAAAAGTCTACAAAGTAGGTGACCTAGCGGCAACGTAGGCTCTAGGGTGTTTTTTCCAATCAGGTTGACGTGAAGGTAGGAGGAAGAGATTACTTGTACAGACCGAGGAGGGGAATTGTAGGATAGGGTTGTGGTATGGTCGGTGGACTCGAGATACCATCTGGGTCTAGATCTTTCAGATGCACATGGGCTAGGGAACAGGAGTAGTGGGGTAGACAGCCGTTGCGTAATGCTAGGAACGTTGTAGGATTAGCGTATACAGATCGCTGGGATTGGAGACGTGGCCTTTCTGACAGCGGATCGGACTCGATGACTAGACTTGTAACTAGTATGATGCCATCGCGATTAGCAGACCATCTCATCAAGCTGCTGTGTAGGGAGCAAAACGCTGGGTATAAGACGCATTTTTGACACAATTTTTTCCATCCAATCAGGCCACGTGGCGCAATGGTAGCGCGTCAGATTCCAGTTCTCCTGGAACCTCCTGAAGGTTAGGCGTTCGAATCGCCTCGAGGTCAATTTTTGGAGCCCCTGGGTGCCTGGGACAATGCATACTTTTTGCCGTTGGTTGGGAGGGGATGCGTTGATGCCCTGGTGCGTTGTGGTTGACGGATTGCGCCAAGGAGGGGTGACTCCACCAAGAACCGAGGATCTGGACCCAACTAGACCATGACTCTTCTGAAATTGGCGTGCATTTGTTTGAACTGCTTGAATTATCCGAAAGATCCGAAGACAACCGCTTTTCCAGATGAATTGTCCTCCTGCAACATAGACCTTTCGAGCATCAAGAGGAGATGCGACGTTCTTATGAGGAGCTCTACCGGACATCAGCAAGCGTTGCAACACCAAGGAGGATGCATGGACTTACCGTCGTACTCAATTTCATACGTAACTGGCATATCCTCATCTGTGCTGATGAGGATCGGAGCGTCCCTCCGAAGCTTCCGCTCCCTGACATTGAAGCGTATACCGCTGTCCTTCCTCGGACTGACCCAGAGGATGCGCGGGTCGTCCAAGTCCGCTTTCTCTTCCTCTACCTCTCTTACGATCTCTTTACCCTTACCTACCTCCTCAACAACCTCATTTGGTACCTCCGTATTCGCCGTCAAGCCCCTCGCCGCAATGTCTCGCAGCCAATCTCTCCACACTCGGAGTACACCTTCTTCAATGTCAACAAAGTTGGTGAAGAGATTGTGAGAACCGATCTTGACAAGATTCGTCTGCGCAACCAGCTGCGTGAACAATTCATGCGCCTCTAACCCAAGTGTCTGTCTCACGGTCTCGCCTTCGTATCTCTCCTGTACTGCCCCCGGAAAGGTACGACTGCCAGGTACGTCTCCAGGTCGGCGCTTCACTCTCCTGCCATCCGCTTCCAAATCGCGCCTATGGGGCTTGAAGCGCGAGTACATGTTGTTGTAATCGGCCAGTCTGCCAACCTCCTTTGTAGCAGAGTTGTAATCATCGTAACTCTTCAAGCCATCGGTGCATCGGTATGTACAGAAGTACGGGGGCTCGGTGAGCTTCGCAGAGGGGTGGAAACATTCGAGAAGCACCGAGTGCGAATGTAGCTCGGCAGCTGTAGTGAGCCGATTATGGAGGATACGTAGGATGAGCGTGTATATGCGATGCGATATGGTGGTCAATTGTAGGAGTTCGGGCGTTGGTATGGGCGTAAGGAGGTGGAGAAGTAACTGGAATGGTTAGCAAGTTGGACGCGATACTGATGTGACAGGAAAGCGTGCCTCATTGGGGAGCCTGTAGAGATAGCATTCACCCATGATGTCAGATGCGATTGTATGTATATCAGGTTGCAACGTAGAATGTCAAACCTCGTGGGGCACGAGTCTACACACATGGGCGAAGGGAGCAACACCACGACTCGGAGATAAGATATCGTCATCGCGGTGCTAGGCTCACTTTGGCGGGGCCGAGGCTTGTCCGGATGAAGTTAGAACACCATCAGAGACGCGCTTTCCCATTCAAGCCTCAGCACTCACTTTCTCAACTCACCTCGCAAACCTCAACTTCAGCTGATCGTCGACAAACACCTAGGTAATAGAGTGAGTGCGGCTCTCTCTTTATCCACCATGCAGGGCTTTGTCGCTCGTCAGAGAACCGGCAGTCCTGCCGCTGGTCAGCCTCAAGGCAAGCCCGACCGCCAAGCCAATGCAGCAAACGCGAGGGTATCAATAAGAAACGGACATCCCGTTCAGCAACCTCGAGCGACTTCTGGTATTCCAGCGCGCGGACTCAACGTTACCCAAAACAGCTCTGCCGTCTTGCAGCAGCCCCTCCAACATCGACAGTCAGGTCCTGGTCCAAGTCAAAAGCGCGATCTTTATGATACTGATGCAGAGAGTCTTGACACTACTGTGAACCCATCTATCGTACAAGTCGAAGATAGTCAACAGAAAGAGCAGCACTACCCACAGCAAGATCATGTCGTCAACCTTGGTGGCACTTCGGAGATCGAAGGAGAAGACGATGAGTATGCAGACGAGCCAGAGGATAGGGAAGACGGATCTGAAGGTTATGATGACGACGAACTGCTGCAAGAAAACCGAGACTTCCTTCATGCGAGCAGAGTTGCACATCTTCCTTATGATGAGCAAGTCG